GAGCGGGAGTATTCAGGCAGGGAAGGGCAGGCAAGGGCATTCCATGCAGGGGCAGCCATGTGGGCAAGTGCTCCACAGTGAGAAACAGTTGCTAGGTTTGTTGGGCTATAGCTCTCTGGGCACTGCTGGAATAAAGCTGGGGGTGTGGGGGCATACGTGGTGAGAGGCGGGCCGGAGGGAAGGCAGGAGCCAGGTCATGCACCATCTTCAGTGCTAAGCCAGGGAGTTTGAACTTGATCCTGAGGGCAACGGAGAGTCAGGGAAGCTTTCAGGCAGAGGAGGGAGCTGGGTAGAATTGTGTTTTAAAAAGCTCATGCTGGTTGCAGAGTAGAGACAAAGGCTTGGCAGAGCAGAAGGGAGAGGTGAGGAGGTGGAAACTGGGAGCAGGGTGAGAGAGGAAGGGTGTCAGTAAAGGGAACAGGATAGGATGAGGTGGATGAGATAGAAACATTTATTCTTGCTGCAATATAAGTTTCCTGAGGCAGGGGCTTTTTTGGTTTGTTTGTTCCCCGTTGAATTCCTGGCACCTAAAACAGTGCCTGACACATAGTAGGACCTCTTTAAGAAATACTGAATGCATGTTTTTGAATGAGGTTGAATGAATAGGACTCTGGCATCAGGTGGGAGGAGGTGGGAATGTTCTGAGATGCAGAGGGGGAGCAGGGATGGGGTGGGGCTAAAGCTAAGCTCAGAGAAGTAATAAACAATGTCAGACAGGAAAGAAAGAACCAGAATGTCCAGCATTCTAGGGACATTGATTAGTTTATAGAGCATCTACACTGTGCAGCCACTGACTGAATGGATAAGGTGGGTGGCTGCAAGTTGGGTTGGAAGGATAGTCCCAATATTTTGTTACTTGACAAAGGCAAGTTACAGACAGGCACTCCTTAAGAGGGGCATGTGGACCTCGATCTGGGAGAGGCCTGGGTGGGGGTGAGGATAAGAGTTGTTGCAAAGCAGATGGCAGCTGGAGTCTGGGGCAGGGATGACATCATCGGGGGATTGCTGGCCCAGAGAACCACAGCCCTGCTTAGAAACAGGTGCAGGAGGAGCCTGGGGGAGGCTTGTCAGTTGGGGCACCCCATCGGAATCAGCTTTGCCTCCTGGTCCCTGGGGTCATCTCCTGTGATCGAACCCAGCAGAAATGTTCTGGTCCTAAATCCTGGGATTCTCAGAGCCTGCAAACCCCACTGAGCAGCCCCGTTCCCTGCCCCTTCCTGGACTCATACACTTAGCAAATGCTGAGCAGGTCCAATGACCCCATGGTGTCCTTCCTCCCCCTGGCCGGCCACTCCCCAAGGTTTCCTCACTCCAGCCTGGATCAGCTTCTCTTTTGGGAACCCAGGTGTCCTGCCCCTTCCGCTTGGGAAACACGGGGAGTGAAAATAGCTTAGGGAGAGGGGGCCGAAGGCTGGGCCCAGGGAACAGCTGCCCGTGTGCCCAGCTCCCCTAACGTGCTGCCTCAGCACAAAGTGTCCATCTGGCCAGAGAGTCAGGTTACTGCGTAAGGGGACCCAGGGCTACCTCCTCCCTGACCCTGTGGCCTTTTCAGCAACTCAGCTCCACTGGGGTAGATCTTGGAAAGAGGGGGGGTGAGGCAAGCAGGGGGCAAGACCCTCAGGTTGGGGGGGGCGCTGTTTTCCGACAGTCTATGATTTGGGTCCTATCTCTGCCCCTTTCAAGGCTTCAGTTTACTCATTTGACAATTGGGATGGAGTGACTGTGGATGCCATGCTGGAGAGAATGCAGAGGAGAGGGTGGGGAGGGGTCCGGGATGGTTACCCCCTCGACATTCCCAAGTCTGTCTACTAGTTGCCAGGCTGCAAACCCTCAGGGTGGGCCTGGGAACATTAAACTAGAGAGTGGGGGTGGGGGAGAAAAGGACATTACTCTTCTGGAAGCCCCCACACTTGGATCTCCTGGGCTAAGCTCAACCGTTTTTTTACCAGCAGAAGTGGCACAGTGGGCCCAGGGAAATGAATCCTGGGGAGTAGGGACGCCAGAAACTCTGCTTGTCTTCCTAAACCCTTCATGAGGGCCCCTAGCTCTCTCTTCCAGCCCTGGGGGACAGGAGAGGACTGATGGGCCAGACCAGGGCTAGGGAGTGGCACTCTGCAGGCTCTGCCCCTGACCTGTTGAGATGCTAACGACAAACCTCCCTGCTTCTCAGGCCTCAATTTCGCCATCCGGAAATGGGCTAGCACTCACTTTCCGCTGCTGCTTCTCCCAGGCGGGGTCCAGCAGCAGGTCGCGGTCCCAGTCCTCCTCCTGTTCCATGTACTCGCCGCCGCTGCCCGCGAAGGGCCCCTGCAGGGCCCCCAGACCCTCGGGCTGCATCACCATCATCATCTCGCTTGGGCTCCTGGTTTCGCTCCGCTCAGCGCTCTCCAGGACACCCGGGCCGCGTTAAGTAGAGCCGGGCCCAGCCCCGGATCGGATTCGCGCTAAATATGGGGGAGGTGGGAGGGGCCGGAGGGGGATGAGGGCGCTCGGGTCGCGACCAGGAAGGAGGCTGCCCTGGGACCAGGGGACTGCAGAATTTCGGGGCGCTGGGGGGGGGGGGGATCCTGTAACGGAGATCCGGGGTTCGGGTTCCGCTCCGCCGCTTGAGCGCTGTGTGACCTTGGGAAAGCCACTGTCCCTCTCTGAATGTTTCCTCCTGTGTGCACGCAGGTGGTGATATTGGTAGTGCTGCAGACCGCTCTAGAAGCTGCTTTTTGAGTCTCCTCCGGACTCTCTTCCTGGCCGCGCTAGTGGGAAACAGGGAGCTCTAGCCCCATTTCACAGTCAGAAACACCAAGGCGCCGAGCTGTTCAGAATGTTTTCTGGGGTGATAAAGGGAGACATTCGAGCATGGGGAGGGGCTCCAGTCCAGCTGGATGGGCCAATGCAGGGCTATTAATATCGGGGCGGCCGGGGGGTGTGGGGGAATGTGCTGAGCCGGGAAGCCCCGACGCCACGGAGGGTGCAATTCAATCCTGCAGGCGTGCCGACTACTCCAGACCAGCTGGCGGGGCTTCTGCGGACGGGGCGGGGCCTCCGCTGATGGGCGGGGATATAATGTCGCGGCCCTACTGGGCTATAGGGCCAACAAGATTCCAAGCTTCTCCTTGGCTCCTTCGGCGGCCCAATCACATCTTCGCATCTGCCGGCTGCTCCCTGTGACTCTTAGCTCTCACAGCACCCTCTCAGAGCTTCTATTGGTGGTGGAAGACGCCCGTCTGTCACTCTCCCGCCCCAATACGGAAGCAGCGGGGTACTCGGGATCCGACAGCGGGTGGGTCCAGGCCATGGAGCAGCCTTGGGCGGCGGGGAGCGCGGAGGGGACGCCCACGCGGCTGCCCCTCGTGCTCACCGCTCTGTGGGCCGCGGCCGTGGGCCTGGAGCTGGCCTACGTGCTGGTGCTGGGTCCCGGGCCGCCCCCGCTGGGACCCCTGGCCCGGGCCCTGCAGCTGGCGCTGGCCGCCTTCCAGCTGCTCAACCTGCTGGGCAACGTGGGGCTCTTCTTGCGCTCGGATCCCAGCATCCGGGGCGTGATGCTGGCCGGCCGCGGTCTGGGCCAGGGCTGGGCGTGAGTGGGGCGCGGGATCTGGCGGGGAAGCGGGAGCCTGGGACAGGGGGAGGGGCCCTAGGACCTGAAGATGTTAGAACCAGATTACAAGATGATCCGCTTGTTAGAGCCAGAGAGAACTCCTTCAGAACCTGGGATGGTAGAGCCAGAAGGAGTATCATTCGCTCACTTACAGATGTTTACTGAGCACCTACTATGTGCAAGGTACTGTTCCAGGCACTGGAGGTAACAATAAAACAGGTTCCTGACCTCCTGGAGCTGATTTCAATGGGGGAATGGGCGGATGATAAACTATAGGCATAATAAACAAATTCTATAGAATGTTAGAAGGTGTCGGTGTTATGAAAACAAAAAGTAGAGCGGGGAGAGGGGGTGCGAGTTGCAGTTTTAAATAGAGTGGTCAAGGTAGGCCTCATTGAGAAGGTGGCCTCTGAGCAAAGGCTTGAAGGTAGGAGAGTTAGCCACGTGGGAATCTGGGAGAAGGGTGTTCCAGGCAGAGGGAACAGACATTGCAAAGGCTCTGAGGAAGTTATGTGCTTAGCATGTTCCAGGAACAGCAAGGAGGCCAGCATGGCTGGTGTGGAGCGAGGGAAGGGGAGGAGAGAGGTTAGGGATGTAAAGATCTGGTAGGACGTCGAAGGCTTTGCTTTTTACTAGAAGTGAGATGGACAGCCATTGGAGGGTTTTGAGCAGAGGAGGGGCACGGCTTCGGTTTTTTAAGGATCAGGCTGGCTGCTAGCGTGAGACTACGCTAGGAGGTGACAAAGGTGGAATCGGGGGACTAGTCAGGAGGCTGTGGCAGTAACCCGGGGGGGAGTTCATGGTGACTTGGGCCAGGTGGTGACTATGGGGGAAGTGAGAAGTTTGCTCCTGGAAGTTAGAGGCCAGAGAAAGTCCTTAGGACTGGGGATATCAGAGCTGGAAGTGACCTCATACCTGCAGTGCTAGAATTGGAAGGGCCTGGAAAGTGGTGTTCAGCCTGCATTTACCTATGAAGAACCTGAGGCTTAGTGGAAGCAGCCGCTGCTTCCCCAGGATGGGCTCAGGGGCTGACCTGGGCGTGAGATGGGCACTTGGAGCTGCTGGGGGAATTGACTCTGTGTTTCCTTCCCTGCAGTTACTGCTACCAGTGCCAAAGCCAGGTGCCACCGCGCAGCAGGCATTGCTCTACCTGCCGCGTCTGCATCCTACGAAGGGACCACCACTGCCTCCTGCTGGGCCGCTGTGTGGGCTTTCACAACTACCGGCCCTTCCTGTGCCTGCTGCTTCATGCCTCAGGGGTCCTGCTCCACGTCTCTGTGCTGCTGGGCCCTGCCCTGTCAGCCCTGCTTCGAGCCCACTCGCTCCTCCACACCGCCGCCCTCCTCCTGCTGCCCTGGCTCATGCTGCTCACAGGTAGGAACCTGGGAGGCCTCCATGGAGAGGCAGAGGCCCCACTAGTGGGCCATTCTGGTAGGGAGATGGGATTTCTGGCTGGTTCTTCTGGCAGTGCCCTGGGGACCCATTCCCAGTGTCATATATGAGGGGGAAGGACAGCCTGGTATTCAGCTGGGTGTGCAGTATGGTAAAATACAGAGCCAGAACACAGACACAGAGTTCTGGCTGGGGGAGTCAGCGAGGGGTTCCAGGAGGTGTTGACAGAGGAAGAAAGACTAGTAGGAGGTCACCGGGGAACATTCTCAGGGGGCATTTAAGTGAGGGCTTGGAGGTGGGGCAGATAGTAGTGAAGGCGATTTGATGGGAGTTGTGAGAATTAAGACTAGGATGGGAGGTTTGGACTGGATGGTCTAGGTCTTGAATGCTGTTGTGAGGAGGAGGCCCTCGCTTGACTGGGTAGCGAGGGGTGGGGGGCACTGAAAGTCACAGGCAGGGGAAGGTCCAGTCTTTGGAAGTTGGAAGGGGAAGACTTGGGTCAGGAGGCTGCCTGAGAGGCTGGATGACACATTTATTCCCCTTTCCTCTGCCACCACCCAAGATAAAATCCCCGCTCGTCTTATATACTGTTCTTTCTCTCCCCTGCCTCCTTCCTTCTGACCTCCACAGTCCTCCCTGTAATTGTCCTGCAGTTACTCCCTGACCACTGGGAATAGTTGCTGTGTCTCCTTATGAGATCTGAGCCCAGCTCTGTCCCAAGGACCCCTGCCCTGCAGCCCAGGGGAGGCCTGGGGAGGCCCACTGGGGTTGTCAGTGTCTTCCTCTGCCCACACTGGCTTCCCGAGTGGCCCTCCTTGATGGCCCTGTCTCCACTGAGACTGAAGCCCTCCAGCTGCACCTCCCTACGCCCTACCTCCCTGTGGCCATCCATGGCCTTCCACTCGCTGCCCTCAGTCCCTGGAGACTTGGGCTCCAGTGCCCCGTCTCTCTCTCTCAGCCCTGGGCCCTGTCGAAACCATGGTGTCTGGAAGTCTGGGCAAACGACCTATTCAGCGTCCCACTCACTCAGCTTCCTGACCGTTTCCATTTTACTTCCTTTCCTACTCACATGTCTGCACCCCAGACCTTGTCGGAATCCCACGTCACCTCCCCATCACTGTCAGTCACCCCCTCTCTGCTCCCTTCCTCCTCACCTATCCATCTCTCACTCTTACTCCACGACACCTGCTCCATTAGCTCCTGGCTATCATCTTTCTGTCCATCGGTACCTTCACTGCTCCTGTGTCCAGTTTGGAGCCTTCATTCCTGCCATTCTCCGGCCAACATCTTAAACCTCTTTGCTCCGTCTTCCTTCCACTGTGCCTCTGTGGCTTCTCTGTGTCAGCCCCTGGCTGCTGAGAGCTGCTGGAGATGCATGGTACTTCATGGCAGGTTGATACCATGGCCCGTTTGTGGCCACTGACCTCAACACGTCCTCCCCCGTGCCTGGCTGTCCTAGTTTCTCATAAGCTGGCTGCCCCTGATGACTGCAGCTCGAACCTTCCCACTCTCCTTCAAGCTTCCGTCCCTCTTGAAAACCCATCACAAAGACGAGACGTCAGATGGCACTTCCAGATCGTCCTGTCCGCAGATCTCTAAGCCAGGCTGACTGCCCCCAGCTTCTCCTGGGGTCGGGCCCCTCCTCCCTGCTCACCTCGCACTGTCAGTTGGCCTCTCCCGCTGCTTCCCTGTACTGGCCGCCTTCGGGTCCCCGGCACAAACCCTCTCTTCCCCCCACATCCTCCTCTAGCTTTTCCCTCTCTGGCTCTTCTCCTGCCGGCAACAGAGTTTCTTGAAAGACTTGCCCAGACTCACGGGATGCTTTTCCTTGCCTCCCACTCATTCCTCCACCTGTTCCAAACTGGCTTCTGTCCCCACCACTCCTCTGACACTGCCGCGGTCCCCAGGCTTCTGTCTCTACAAAACCCACAGGACCCTTTTGATTTCCTTGCTTTATGAGACCTTTCAGCTGACCTCTAACCTCCTCGAAGGGCTCTACCCTTGGCGTCACCGACAGCTCATGCTTTGGGTTTTCTCCTTCCTTTCCGGTCTCCCTTTTCTTTATCTGGTCCCCGAGGACCTGGTTTCCTGGTGCTGAGGTCGAGCTCCGTCCTCATCTCGCTCGACACTCTGGCAGTTCTCAGGACCGTCCACATACCTCCCCCCCGCAGATCTGTGCCTGGCCTGGGCTCCTCTCCTGAGCTTCCAGAGCCGTCCACCCTCTGTCTCGCCGGCACCTCTCTGTCCAGCCTCGGGACCTTCAAACAGAATGTTTTCTCACCTCTTCGCCTAGCAAATAAATTCCTTAGCCTTCGGGCCCCACCCAAAGTATCGCTTTATCAAAAGTGATGAATTCCACTTCGCTTAGCCTCTTGATAAGTTTGCGTGGCATTTGGCATTTCCCACCCAGGCTCTTCTTTGTTGAAGTAAAATTCACATACCGTGAAATTCATCATTTTAACCACTTTCAAGTGCACAGTTCAGCGGCGTTTAATACATTCGCAGTGTTGCACAACTGTCACCACTATCTAATCCCCAAACATTTTCATCACCGAAAAAAGAAACCTGTATGTACCGATTAGCAGCCACTCCTCATTCCGTCGGATCCCTCCAGCCCCTGGCCACCACTAAACCTCTGTCTCTATAGAGTTGCCTATCTGAGACATTTCATATGCACACATGTGACCTTTCATGTCTGGCTTTTTTCACTTAATGTCGTGTTTCATGGCATCTTGTAGTTCTTTAGTTCAGCAGATACTTCTTACCTACTGTGGGCCAGGATGCTGCACTTATCCACACATATACACAGTGTAACACGCATCACAGCTATAATCAAGGGTCTATAGGATGCCTGTCTGTGAGCTCGCCGAGGTCAGAGATGCTACCTCCCGTTTAGCCTGGTGTTCGCGGCTCCTGGCACCGTGTGCAGCACGTGCGAGGTGCTCATGAGTTAGCGATGCAGGAGTGAAAGCATATGTAAGGCAGAGGGCTGTGTCTGCCTGGTTCGGCAGTGTGGTCCATCGCCTGTCGGGGGCTGGCCAGGGAGTAGCGACTCGGTGTTTGCTGAGGGAGGAATGAGCACTGTTTCGTGTTGAAGGGTAGGGGGTGGGACGAGGACAGGAGCTGGGCTTTCGGGGGCTGGGCCTGCTGCTGCCCCCTAACCCTCCCTGCTCTCTCTTCGCAGGCAGAGTGTCTCTGGCGCAGTTTGCCCTGGCCTTCGTGACCGACACGTGTGTGGCAGGTGCGCTCCTGTGCGGGGCTGGGCTGCTCTTCCATGGGATGCTGCTGCTCCGGGGCCAGACCACGTGGGAGTGGGCTCGGGGCCAGCACTTTTATGACCTGGGCCCCTACCACAACCTACAGGCGGCCCTGGGGCCCCGCTGGATCCTCGTCTGGCTTTGGCCCTTCTTGGCCTCCCCATTACCTGGGGATGGGATCACCTTCCAGACCGCAGCTGATATGCGACTTATGGCTTCCTGACTCCAGAAAGAGCCAGAGCTGCACAGGGAGCGGGTGCTGGGGAAGGGGGCTCATAACTCATTTCAGGCCTACCGCCAGCCTCGGGAGAGGAGGTGGGTTCGGACTTAATGCCTCCTTTCGGCAACTCCGGCTCCATCCTCAGCCTCGCCCCTGCCCAGATTGGACTCCTAGTATCTAGGGCTTGGGCCCTACGACTCTGCCTTCATCAGTGGCTCCTGAGTGCAGTGGAGGGTCCGGCAAAGGGATGCTCGGCCAGCTTAGCTGCCCCTTTGCCAGGTTAATAAAGTGCCCCCTTGGTTCTTGGACCCCCGTCCATCTCTGTGGGTTTCTATTGGCTGGGCTGCTGTTTCAGGCTCTTCTGATCGTCAGGCCTGGGAGCCGCAGAATGCCTGAGCACGTGAGGGGCCAGGGCTCTGCCTCCTGTGGCTTTGGTGGGGTGTGTGTGGCAGCACCAGCAGACCAAGGGAGCACGTAGTGATCCAGGGTATGAGTATCTAAAATTCTTTCCCAGGTTCAGTGCTTTGTAGTTAGAAGCATTGCCACAACCTGGTACATTGGGCAGCAGTCATGCAGGTGAAGAAATTAAAGCTCAGAGTTCGTAAGATCATGCACGGGGTAGTACATGGAGGAGCGAACCCAGATCTTGGTGCTTTCTGCCTTATGCTTGCACAGCTGAGGGAGGGGCGTGGGACAATCAAGGCTGAGAAATCAGGCGGGGGTGGTCGAGCATCTGTGAAGCGTGGTGATGCCGGGGCTATGCTGATCTTCTCTGGCTCTTCAGGAGCTGCTTGTTAAACATTTTTATTTAAATAGAGTAACTAGAGTTAAATGTGGCAGGCTTAAACACCTGGGTTTATCTGTTTCCTCTTAAAATCTAAGGTGATCATAAATAGAAATCTACAAGGAGAAAAAAAAGGAGACAGCAGTAGACCCAAGAGCCTGGCATTCGGAAAGATGGAAAGTGGACGGAGGCTCATTTACTCTCTTAGAGAAGTAGAAGTGGAAATTAAGTGTTCCCAGAGGGAGGGGCCAAGAGGCGGTCAGACTGCCCCCTAGAACCCCGGAGAGGCTCAGGAATTCCACCAGCATCGTGGAGGGCAAGGTTTGGGGCTGACAGTAGAGAAGGATGCAAACTCAGTGAGGTGCAGCTGGGTTGCCCCTCTGGTCAGCACCCACCCTACCCCCGTAGCTAAGCAGCTTAGCTCCCCCTTGGGTGGAGGTGGCTTTCTGTCTCAGAGCACTGGGGAGAGTAGGGGTGAGGGGCTGGACCGAAAATGGGGTTAAGTGGCAGTCTACAGATATTGCTAGCGGGGGGAGTCCTCCAGGGACACGGCAGGCTCGTCCCCCCAAGAACCCTCAGAGAAGCCCACCCTTCTGGCAGGCCCTGCCCATGCCCACAAAGGTTTGAGCTGCTAGGACATTTTCTGTTTTTCCAAATGGCATGCTCTGTTACTATTTTTTAACTGCGTTAGGAACTTGGTGTGCCTGGCACTTTGTGCTGTCCATAAGCTCTGGCAGACTGTCTGTTTTCTCTCCGCTTTACCCCTTACCCGCACCTCCGCCCCCCAAAAAATCTTTTCTTGTTTTTTATTAAATAGGAGATGCCAAGAATGTATTTATAAAAGAGAGAGAGAAACGACATTTAAAAAATGGATACCATTTCCTTTGAAGTCCCTGCTGTGCCCTCCCTGGTAGACAAAACACTGCAGTCTTAGTCATTCCCTGGCTCTGTTTGTAATTTTATTACATATGTGTATATTGGTTTTGCATGTTTGAATTTTTATATAAATGGAATCATACCTTGTTTATTCTGTGCCTTGCTTTTTCACTCAATATTATGTTTCTGAGACTTACCCAAATTAATGTATGCCTCTGTAGGGCATTCCTTTCCCTCGCTGTAGTGTGATCCTCTGAAGATACCAGTTTGTTAGTTTTGTCCCACTGGTCATTATATCTACCCCTGTGTATGATCCCCTAAGATCTATTTTTGGTGCTTGCTCTTCTATATTGATTTTAGAATCAGCTTAAATTCCAATAAAAACCCCATTTGACATTATGAATGGAACCTATTGAATCTGTAGATCAGTTTAGGGAAAATCAACTTCTCCATGAAATTGAATTTTCCAGTTCATGACCATGGTGTGTCTCTCCATTTAATGTTTTCATTAAAGTCATATACTTTTTTCCTCATAAAGATCATGGCTTTTTTGTTAGATTTATTCTTAAGTGTTTGATATTGTTATGCTATTGTACATGGTTTATGAAAATAGACATGTCTGGCAAACGAAAACAATAGTCTTATACTTTACTTGTAAATTCTTGAGTTTTCTGTATTTATAATATCATCTACGAAAATATGACTTTATTCTTCCTTGAAAAAGTTTCATACCTCTTATTTTTCTTGTCCCCTCTGTATGGATGGATGGAATTGACTGTAATTAGGAATAATTTCAATATTTCACCACAAAATGTTTGCTGTGGTATTTAATAGATGCCCTTTATTAGGATGAGAAAGTTCTTTTCTATTCCGGGTATGTTAGGATTTGTATCCTTATATTTTCAATTGCTCTCTCTTAAGAATAGCCTATAGATGGATTTTCAAGTCTAGATAACACTGTCTTATAACTGAAGCATTTAGTCATTCATATTTATCATAATTAATATATACTTGCACATACATCTACCACTTTATTTTGTACTTTCAATTTGTCCCACCATTTCTAGTTTTTTACTCTTTAAAGTTACTTTTTGATGAGTACAGAATTCTAGGTTAATATTTATTTCCTCTCATATTGAAAATACTAGTCTTTAGGGCTCCATTGTTGCTACGTCAGTTGTCATCTATTTGTTGTTACTATTGCTTCTTTGAAGATATTTTTTTGTCACCGACTTTAAGATTTTTCTGTCTTTGGTATTCTGCAGTTTTACTGTGATGTGCCCAAATATAGTTTCTTTATAGTTATCCTAACAGGACTCCTTGGGTTTCCTGATTCTATGAATTGATGTCTTTTTATCAGTTCTAGAAAATTCTGTCATATCTTCAGATATTTTCTGCCCCTACTGGAATTGATTAGACCTCCCTCCACCATCCTTCTAGTCTTATAAAACTCATACTTTCTCTTTCTGGCATTCTGGATAATTTCTACAGATCTATCTTCCAGTTAAGTCTTTCTTCAGCTGCTAAACCAATCTATTGAGGCTTAAAAACAAAACAAAACAAAACAAAAAAACCCAACTCATCCATTGACATGTCAAGCATTTTGCTTTTCATTTCTAGAAGTTCTATTTGGTTCTTTTTTCAAATTTGCTCGATCATTTTATACACTCTCTTGATTTCTATATTGTTTCTTTTTTCTTTAAATATACAGAAAACACATACCTGATATTCTGTTTGGTATTTCCAACACTTTAAGTCTTTGAGGCCTGATTATGCTGGCTATCCTTTCTGTTGGCTCTTGCTCACAATGCGTTATCTTGCAATTTGTGAGTTTTGACTGTGTTTATATTTGTTGGAATTTTATCAATGGGGATTTTTTGAGATTGAGTTAAAAGTAAATCCTTCAGTTATCATTTGACTGAAAAGCTCATCCTGCACCACTTCAAACTAAATTTTTAGGTAGGCAGGGTTTGATTGGACCACCCAAGGATTGTCAATTCAGGTTGCAAACTTAATTCAGGCTGGCCTGTGGTTAAAAATTCTTAGGAGAGGTTTTCTCCCTTCTCTCCGGCACTAGGCTTGGGGATAGGCAATGTCCCTTGCTGGTTCTGATGAGATTTCAAAATACCACCTTTGGTTTCATTTATTTTCTTTATCGATTTCCTGGTTTCAATTTCATTGATTTCTGCTTTCTTTTTATTTCTTTTCTTCTGCTTACTTTGGATTTAATTTGCTCGTTTCTCTATTTTCCTGAGGTGAAAACTTAGATGATTTAGACCTTTCTTCTCTTCTAACACATGCATTCAATGCTATAAATTTCTCTCTAAGCATCACTTTCACTGCATCCCCCAAATTTCAGTAAGTTATGTTTTCATTTTCATTTAGTTCAAAATATTTTAAATTTCTGTTGAAATTTCTTTGAGCCATATGTTTAGAAGTATGTTGTTTGATCTCTAAGTATTTGGGGGATTTTTCAATGATCTGTTATTGATTTCCAGTTTAATTCCATTTTGGTCCGACGACAGACACTACATGACTTTTATTGAGTTACCGTGTTTTCTATGGCTCGGAGTGTGGTCCATTTTGGTAAATGTTCCATGTGAATTGCAGAAAAGTGTGTATTCTGCTGTTTTTGAAGTCGTCTATAAATGTCAGTTATAACTCAACTGTGTTCTTAAAAAGACGCCAAAATTAAAGGTTGAACGGAGAACAAAGACTCTTGAGAATTAAAATAAAAGAATTTTTAAAACACTTCTAGGAAGAGCTGAAAGATTAAAAAAAAAATCTCAAAAAATAGAACAAAAAGACAATATAAGAGAAGAGAGAATAAAGAGAGGATCACTCCTGTTCTCTTTGGAATTGCCATTTATCAGGCACTGGGTTTACTCAGAACTCCAGAGAGAACAGAGAAAATGGGAGGAAATCATTCAAGAAACTAATTCAAGAAACAAAATTTTCTGGAACCGAAGGATGTCCAGCTCCACTCACAGCACATCCAGTAATGACACACAGTAAGGCATCTCCTGACATTTTAGGACCTCAGAAAGATGAGGTCAGGAAAAAAATGGCTGTGGAACTTCTTAAAAGCAGTGCCCCAAATTATGATACAAGAAAGTCCCACTTTAAAAACGGTTTTCTCGCACGAAAATGATTTTTAACTTGAAATGTTATGACCCCAACTATCGCATACATGTGTGAACCGAATGAAGAAAACTTCAGAGAAAGTGTCTTAAACACGTTAACTCTAGTGACTTTTTACAGAAGGTACTTGTAGACACGCTTCACCAAATGAGGGGTGCAAGGACCACAGTAGAGGAGGACGTGGGGCGCGGGAATGATGACCCAGCCCAGGACGTGGCCAAGGGAGTCCCAGCAGTGCTGGGCAGCAGCTCTAGAGGGCGCACAGTCCTCAGGGAAGCAGGGATGAAGGCCCTTGTCCGGAAAAGGGGAACTGTCAAGCTGGGTGGGGGAAGATCGGCAGTCGGTTGTATAGAGAACTAAGCAAATGGAAAAGACGGTGAGTATCAATTTACCTAAAAAGCAGAGAGAAAAGGAGGGGCAGGGTGCTGTCACGAGAGAGCTAAAGCCTCATCTCTTAGGACAGACACGGAGCCGACAGATAGAGTCTGAGACTGATAAACAAGCGAGAGTACATGAGCATGTTTAAAATGAAGCAGCTAAGAGAACTGAGAATGATTTGTGGGGGCGGTGGCAGTCCTGGGGGATGGCGAGAGGCTCTTTTCTTCTTATAAACTTTAATTTCATAGTACTAAGTACATCTGTGTTTTTAGATCAATAATTTTTAAAAAGACACCAACTCTCCTCATCCTTATCGTACCCAACTCTAACCCCTGGAGCTCTAACTGGCGAGGGTGCCACGCACTGCTTCTTCCTTCACGTTGCCGTGTGTACACCTGCCCACACCGCCGCCGTGCATGGCGTACGTGGCGTTACAGCGTACAAATTCACATTAGGTGCTGGGTGGGCATAGGAACGGTTTCTCTGTTTTCATCATCATGAATAGCTACGAATAGAACCCAGAGCAGACTTTTTTGTTCCAAGTTCACACAGATCATCACTTGACTGGGGTGAAAGAGACTGTAAGGTCATCTGACTCAACAACCCTATGAAGAGACAGCCCAGCCCCAGTGACACAGCTCCAGTGACAGGGGCTCACAACCTTCTAGGGCTGGCCCTTCCATCTCTGATACGCTCTCTTAGAAAGCTCTTCAGGGCAAGTTGAATTCTCTGACTGTGACAACTCCCTCTACCTGTCTTTCCATTTCCAGGTTAAACCTCCTGTTTGTTCCCGCTGTGCCTCAGTTGGCTTGATCTAGAAACACTTCACCATCTTGACCCAACTGGTCTATGGCTGCAAGTGACGGAGCCATACAGAGAGGGGGATGGGCTCTCTCTTTGGTTCAGACCCCTCGCTTCTCTTAACCTGGCCCCAGAATGCATTCCTGGGGGTGGGGGATGGGGAGTGGCTGTGGCTGTGTCCTCCCAGTACCTCGCTGTGTTTTGGGCACGGAGGCTGTTATTGCCTGGCAGTGGCCGTCAGCTTGGGGCCCTTGGACTCAAGGGCAAAAGATCTGTAGCTCTTCCTGTCATGTACTCCCGTTCTAGAATTGACTCCCCTTTTCCTCTAGAGAGGCTGCCAAGCTCACAGGATGTTAGAGCTGAATCTGGTCAAATGCCTCATTTTACATGTGGGAAACTGAGCAGGGTCGCTGGCTCACAAGTGGCTCAGAGCAGTCCTGGTAGCACCAGCCCAACAGAGCTCTGCGAGGTGGGCCAGGCAGACTGGCCAGGGCTCCGAGGCTCCGAGAGCTGGGACCGTGGTCTGAACAAGTGCCTTCGTTTGGTCTTCGGCCTCACTCACACCTCTGGTCCCTGCCTTTCCAGGCAGTTCTCTCACACCGGCCGCTGCCAGGTGAATTCTCCACTCACATGACTGATCTGGGCTCCAGGGCATAGAAGAGCATCTTGAGTGGCAGTCTGGGCTTCTGCCTCCTGTGCCCCGTCCCCAGGGCCCCAGAAATGCCCCTGCTGTGCATCCTGGTGCTCCCTCTGCTCCATCTAGCTGAGCCCTCTTTTTCTGGGTGCTCTTTCTGGGTGCAGCGTCCCAGTCGGCAGTGGCGGCTGTGTGGCCTTCGGGAGCCTGGTTGGAGCTGGGGCCACAGGCTCCCTGCATGGCCACCCTATGCCCTCCCGCGCCAGCTCCTCCCCTGGCAATCTTCGTGGAGCGTCGCAGTCCTGAGACCTTGACCGAGACCAACGTTTCATAAAAGCCACCTGTGGGGAGGCAGCATTCTCTGGGCCCCCTGAATAGAAAGAGGGTCCCTCGCTCAGCTTATGAGGGGCAGTCAGAGGATGTGTTTTGCTTGCAAGCTGAGCTGGCAGCAGCCAAGCTTCTGGAACCCCAGGGAGCAACAGGGGGCTCAGTCTCACCCAAGAAAAGCCCATGACTGTCCCAGGCCAGGCACTAGCCAATTCCGGCCTGGGCCGGCAGCAGCATGAGTGGTGCGCCTAAGGCGAGAGACGGGCCTGCGCCCCTCATCTCTCAGGGCCGCTTCAGAGTTCTTCCTTCAGACCTGCGTGTGGTTTCTGGAGAAAAGTGGGGTGGATGCAAGAGCCGAATGGGCCAATGCCTGGGCTTTCCTGAGGTGGAAGGAGCTGGACCTCCTGGGCACTCACTGCCCTGCTGCTAGAGGTCACGCAGCGGTCAGGATGGCGAGAAAGGGGGAGCTCAGGAGAGGAGAGCAGTCGCCCAGCATGCTGCTGTGCAGGGAGTGAGCCTGGGACCGCTGGCTCTGCCCTGCTCAGTGGAAGCGGCTGGGTCTTCCCAGTCCTGATTCCACGGGGGCTGTAACACCAGCCCGGGGCTCAGGCAGCTGCCAGCCCCTCACTCACAGGCATGTTGATGTGGGCACTCAGCAGGGGCGCACTCTGGCCTTCTCGAAGCACCAGCACCTACGGAAGAGGTCCCCGTGGCAGTAGGGCCATGTCCCCTTTAGCCCCTGCTCCCCGCAGAGGCCAAGCCTAGACTGGTCTGCACTGGCTCGGCAGAGGCCACCAGGGCTTTGTCAAAGGGGACGGGGAGGCTGGGAGGCCTCTCCTGTGCAGGTGTCCTCCCACTCCGGACCAGCAGCCACGCGGAGGCCTTGTCCACACTCATCCCCACTGTCCTCCCCAAGCAGTACTAACAGGCGACCTACCTTGATGAGGTCGGAGATGCCCTTGTCACTGAGACTCTCCACAAAGGTCTCCAGGGGGTAGTTGAGCCCTGGCACCAGCAAGGGGACCTGAGTTTGGGAACAAAGAGGTAAGGAAACCGGCAGGCATGCCCGGACAGCCTCGGCAGATCCGGAGCACTGCCGGGCCTGCCGCCCAGCTGCATCTCAGCGCACCCTGCGGGGCGGGGAGCATGGCGGGGCTGCTGGCACGGTCACGGTTAAACCAAGACCCCCTGACAGTCCACCAAGGCCAGGGCTTTCACCTCCCGGAGTCTTTCTCAGTTTCTGGTCCTCCCAACTCAGAGTCACATCTGGACCTGGGTTGGAAGCCAGGCCCTTCACTCTGCAGAAGATGCTCTTTGAGGCAGAGGTGCGCGCCATTCCCGCCGCAGGAGTAACTACGAAGCAGGGTGGGCTCTGGGGCCCCCAGCAGCAACAGGCTCCTGAGAGGGGCACGGCGTATCCCGTGTGGCTCTGAGGCCTCTCGCAGGCTGAGAAAAATGCAGCTGAGGCAGGTCTCCCCAGACGCCCCTGCCGTGCCCCAGCCTCGTGCGTGGCCGCAGCTGCCTGCAGGCTCCCTCGCCTCCCGCCCGGTGGCGGCTCTGTGGACATTTAATGAGGCCCCACCCAGTCTTCTTACTCCATGTCTCCATGAGGCGGGCCAGTACCTTGAAGAAGGCCCGGGGCAGGGTGTAGAGCGCCTCGTTGTACAGGAAGCAGATCAGCAGCCCCAGGATGGGTCGGGCTGTCGAGGTGTTCTGCAGGTGCAGTGTGAGCTTGAAGGTGGGGCCCAGGCCCTGAACCTGTGGGGAGGGTGGATGCGGGGAGAAAGCCCTTAGTACCCAGCGGCCTTGGGCGCTGACTGTGACGTGTCCTGGCCCTGCCCAGTCATCGCCCTCCTCCTGCTGCTCTAATGCACCGTCCATCTGCCACTCAAAGGGCACAGAGGCCAGAAGGTTGGCTCCAGTGTGTATGGGGATCAGCAAAGGCCCAGGAAGGGAGAGAGGCTTGATAGGGGCCACTCGGCAAGCTGGTCAGAGGCGGAGCTAGCCTGGGGACACAGGCCCCAACTCCCACCTGCGTCCTCACCGTGCCCTCTCTGACCCTCTCTTCCCTGGGCCTGGCCCACTTCCCCTGTGGTGGCCGCAATGATTCCATTTTTCTCTTCACCCTTAGCTGCTCTGTAGCCTCTTCCTCTCTGTATCTATCCACTTCCTTTGGGGGAAGAGAAATTGGAAACCCAGTTGGGACAGAAGGCACACCTTGGGGACCCATTTAGAGCTGGTCGGAGCCCCGATGACCTTGAGGCCACTTGTGTCTGAGTGTGTGGGCTCCTCCCCCTGCCCTGTACTGGGCGGTTCGAACACCAGGAGCTGCCTGCGGGGACTGGAACAACAGCTTTCTTCCCTGTCCCACAGCTGTAAGAGACCCTCCAGGCCCCCGGGAAGAAACGTCCCAAGGTGACTACTTGTGTGCCCTGCCCCAAGGCTGGGGGCTTGTCTGAGGCACAGCATGGAGCTGGGGAGTGTGTTACTCTGTGGTTGGTGGCAGGGAAGAGGCAGCTCAGGAGACAGACGGGGAGAGCACGCTCGCAAAGGACGTGAGCCTCGGTGCCCGGGCCTGTGGGAAAGTGAAAAGGGGGCACAGGACCTAGTTGGCTTGGACTTGGCTCAGGGCCTGAAGGGTTCCCACCCACCTCTGACCTCTGCCCCTCTGGCCCTGAGGCTGCCGAACCCCACCCCCCAACATCTGGGTGCTCACCACTGCGTGTAGCTTGAGTGGCTCCCGGGCTGTCACGGACACGGGGCTCAGGCTGGACTCGAGGGCCTGCACGTAGGCCCGGGCGGCCCGGAGGCGCAGCAGGTAGAGGTCGGTCTGGAAGGTCCGGTGCATGGCTGTTGAGGGACGCAAAGGCCTGATGCTGGAGGTGGGGAGGGCAGGAGGGGGG